TTTTCTCTACCAGGCACCACTGTGATTCTTGTGCTACAGAACAATTCTTTGCTCTAGGAGAGTCAGTTACCTATACCTTCATTCAGCTCCTTGATCCCTGCATGTTCTCTCTAACAGTCTTTGCATTTTCTATTTCCAGCCCCCAACTCCCAATTCATTGTATCTAGATCTCAATTCAAAACTTGGTTTTGAGTTTTGAAGGGAACCTTTTCCCAACCATCTGCATCAGTCAGGGTCTCAGCATATTATAAAAGATACTAAAAGAAATCATTTGAAATGGATTGGATAGAGGGAATGACAAAATCAGCAAAAGGTTAAGGGAAGGAGTGAGGGGGAACTATCAGACACTAACAGTTGTGAAAAGCTGTGACCAATCCTAGGCTTGAAAAGACAGAGAGACAGAGACAGAGATAGAGAGAGACAGAGAGAGAGAGAACTGTTCATTTAAAGCCACTGACAGCAATGCCATGGCAAAAGTTAAGAACATAGGTAGAAAAATATAGCTACTACCAAACCTAAGCACATCAAGGAAGGAAAGAGATAGTAAATACCTCTATGTACTTCTCTCAAAATATAACCAGAAAACTGAGAGCAAGAGACCGTGTTGGTAGGGCCTTTGGGTGAGTTCTGACTCACAGCGACCCTGTGTACAAGAGAACCAAACACGTCCTGCTTGTGAGTCGTCTTCAGTACTGTCAGGCTGGTTGCAGCCACTGGTTGCAGCCACTGTGTAAATCCATCTCTGTGAGGGTCATCCTGCTTTCCACCACCCTTCTTCTTTAACAAGCACGATGTCCTCTTCCAGGTACTGGTCTCTCCTGAGAACATATCCGAAGTATGGAAGATGAAGTGTCCCCATCCTCTCTTCTAAACAGCATTCTGGTTGCACTTGTCCCAGGACTCTCTTGTTTGTTCTGGCAATCTGTGGGACCTTCAATATGTGTGGCCAACCGTGTGATTCAGAAACATCAATTCTGCACTGCTCTTTCTTTATACAATGTGTAACTTTCATATGCATAAAAGGCCATTAAAAATTAAAAATATACCTTACTATGTTAGTTCAGGTTGACTAGATAAACAAATTCATAGACACTCATACGTGTGAGAGAAAGAGCTTTATATAAAGAGTAAATTTATATTAAGAAAGCATCTCAGCCCAGTCCAGATAAAGTCTATAAGTCTGATATTAGCCCATATGTCCAATACCAGTCTATAAATTTCCTTTTCAAACTCACACAATACATGCAATGACACCAAATACAGGAAGATCACAGGCCCGTGGGTGGAAAGTCTTGTAGATCCAGTGGGGGTGGAAGCATCTCAGCACTGGTGTGGGTCTCCACATGGCTCTTCCAGCTCCAGGGCTCTGGCTCCATCAGTCAACAGGAAAGACAAGCAGAGTGTGTCTGTTCCACCTCCAGGTAGGAAGACAGGAGTTCCCAGAATCCTCAGAAGGCCTTGCACACACAGAGGTCTCATTGCCTATGATCTGGTTGACAGAGTAGACTCCATCCCTTTGCAAGTTGACAGGAAATTATGTAACTGCCTGCAGCGTGACCTCCTTACTTTTCAACACCAGCGTACTATTTACCCAATGTATTGTGTCATTTGATTTCTTGATGGCTACTTCCAATATCATGGGTTATAAATATCAGCGAGATGAAATCCTTGACAACTTCTATATTTTCCTCATTTACCCTTATATCATCTATTGGTCCAGGTGTGCAGTCTTTGGTTATCTTTACCTTGGGTTGCAAGCTCTATTGAAGGCTTCCATCCTTGACGTTTATCAGCAAGTGCTTCAAGTCTTCCTTGCTTTCAGCAAACATGATGGTATCATCTGTATAACAAAAGCTGCTAATAAGCCTTCCTCCCATCCTGACGCCATGTTGCTCTTCATACAGTCCAGCTTCTCCATTATTTGCTCAGCATACAGAATGAATAATTAGTGTAAAATAACCCAAGCCTGATGCATACCAAACCATACAATATTCCCCTGTTTCCTGCAAACAGTTGCCTCCTGTAAAATGTACAGGTTCCACGTGAACACAAGGAAGTGCTCTGGAGTGCCCATTCTCCTCAATGCTGTCCACAGTCTGCTAGCATCCATACAGTTGCATGTCTTTCCACGGCCAATAATACAAAACGACATCTGTCTGAAGTGAGAGGCCAAGGCAGTGAGCCTTTGAGACCCAACAAAGGAGCAGTGCTGAGGCGATGACACTGTGAGACAAAGCAGCAAGCTTCCTTCTGGGTCCATGGAGACAAAGGCCAAGGAACCACGTGACTAACAGGCTGAGGACTGAAAAGAGACCGCTGGCTAAGGAGAGGTTTTCCTGTGAACCAATGACTGTGTCCTTATTGTCTATTAATCATGGATTATAGTAATCGGTTAACACCCACTAATAAGTCTTTAAATGTTAGCATTGTTGGTGAGTTTCGTGTGGCCATTGCCACCAATTATTGAACCAAGCATAGATGTAGAGTGCCGGGGGAAGAGTGGATGGTGTCAGAACAGGGAAAGGAGGATGTAGGGCAGGGGCATGTGTGACTCTTGACTTGTGACAACAGAGAAGCCGGAGGTGATAGATAGAGTCCCCCTGGTATGTTTGCAGTCAGGTAGCTGTCTTACAAATTTCTTGGCCCACATCAATGAATATTTTCAAGTGTTTCATCAGCTTATTGAAACATCTCAATTGGCATATTCTGCCAATTCCTGGAGCCTTAGTTTTTGCTCTTGCCCTCGGTGTAGAGTGGACCTCTTCTGTCAGTACCGTTAGTTCTTGATCATATGCTACCTCTTGAAATGCTTGAATGTCTAACAGCTCTTGTTAGTATAGTGATTCTTTGTGTTCTTTCCCTCTTCTTTCAATGCTGCCTGCATTAATCAATATTTTTCCCACAGAAACCTGCAATATTGTAACCCAAGGTTTGAATTTTTTTCTATATTCTTTCAACTTGAGGTATGCTGAGTGTGTTCTTCCTCGTCGGTTTTCTAAGTTCAGGTCTTTGGCATATTTCACTATCATGCTTTGTCTTCCAGTGCTTACCCTTTGAAATGTACTGTTCTGCTTTTTACTTCATTATGTCTTTCATTTACTTTGTTACTATACGATCAAGAGCAAGTGTCAGAATCCCTTCTGACATCCACTTGGAGCTTTCCTTCATTTACTATCTTTTAAATGACCTTTTGCTTTCTTCACGTGTGATGTTCTTGATGTCACCCCACAGCGCATAGGTCTTGTCATTAGTGTTTGGTGAGTCAGATCTGTTCTTGAGATGATCTCAAGCTTTCATTGGGATATACTCACGAGCACCTAGATCGTGCAGTCCCTAGTGGGCAACCTCCTCCTTCTACTGCGCCTTTTGAGGTAGAAAAAAGAAAAACTAATAATCTAATTTTGTATGACTATTTACAAGAATCTAGCCTGTGCCATTCCAGCTCTCTAGTAATCCTCTAAAATCAAGTAACTCATGTTTATACTCAAGTAAACCATGTTATCCATTTGTTAAATTCGCTGTTTTAAAAATTCTAGTTCTCAATACTTTGGTAACATGAGGATTCTCCTGGACGGTAGGTAAAAGTATGGCTGAGTCGGTTGCCCTGGGTCAATTCCATCTATAAGAGTCTTTAAACTCTTTCTCTTACAAAAGGCCAGGGAACTTCCAGAATCTAAGCCACAATGCTTCTAAAACAATCATCAAACCCAAACTTCATTTAATCTTGGGTTATGATTTGAGGGGCAAGATCCAAAATCATCAGTTCAAAGCCACCAGCAGCAGCTCCTCAGAAGAAAAATGAAAATTTCTACTTCTGGAAAGATTTAATCTTTGAACCCCATAGGGGCAGTTCTCGTCTGACTTAGAAGGTTATGATGAGTCAGAATTAACTCTAAGAGTTTGAGTAAGTATAAATTCTAAAGTACTTGAGCCAACACATTAAATTCCCCATCTTAGGTAAATAACTTTACATTGAAAAATTCAGCATGATATAACTTTATTTAATCCAGCAATTTAAAAAGTGTATCTCAGAGATGTTATGTTGATGGAGGTCACCCTCTTGAAGCTGTGTTATATGTTTCTCTGTTCTCCAGCATATGAAACCCAGGACTGATGAGCCTACAGGGACAGCAAGAAGAGTAAGGGGTTTGTAGGGAGAGGACACAGTAGTGGTGGTGATGCGAAAAAAGTTAATAAAGTCAAGGAATCCATGTAGAAAAATATTGTTTGAAAACTGATTGTGGTGGCAATTGTATAATTCTATTTGATGTGATTGAACTATGGAATGGTATGATATATGTAATAAATCCTCACTAATAACATATATATGCTCGTATTTTCTATTGCCATGGTGGCTTCCTAGCTCATGAGACACAAATAGACAAGATGGCTACAACCTCTGGCGTGTGTGCCATTCCTGTGGAGTCACACTGTAGCCCTCTTCCGTCATTACCCATACTGTTAACTGACGAGAAGACAGACCCACACCCCTGGTACTGAAAACCTGACTTGTACAAAATGTTAACTAAAGACAAGAATGTAAGATATCAAGAAGAGCACACAGAAAATCAAAATAACCAATAATTATTTCTGAAGTGATTGGTGAAAAGGCAGGTAAAATAATTATTTTTATCTATCAGACATAAATAAAAAGAAAATGAAAGGGAAAGAACTAGATCCCAACATAGAAAAACTATAAAGAAAGAGCCCTATCAATAGCTGTCAGTAGATGTATAACTGATTTAGTAACCTCTATAGAAAATAATTAGACAATAATCACCAAAATTAAAATTTTTATATAACTACATATATGTATATGTAAGCATATATTATATAAGTAAATATAACATATATACCTATTATGTATGCATATGTGTACTTATTATATATAACTACATATATGTTAGCTTAATCTTGCATTTATGGTCACACAGAATGGAGCTTGTAACCAATGAATTCAATTTTACTTAAAAATATCCAGTGTGTGAAAACAGCCGTACTTGGTTTTGCAGCCTGTGCGTTTCGCTGCTCATTGCCCTCAGGATTTCCAGTTCTCCATTGATGTAAAACTTCCTGAAAGGACCTGGCGGAGGCTTCTTCATTGAATGATCCTTCACACAAGAGCCCAGGTTTTTGATTTGTGGATTCTGCTTTTTCTGACGCTGTAAATTCTACCTAAAGGGATTAAAAATACACGTTTAAATGTGCTTGACTAAATTTTCTGAACTTATTAGTCATTTTAAATTAGACAATTTTTAACATTAGAAAAGTAGATACCAATAAAATTATATTAATTGATCAGTAGGTTAAATGTTTTTGAATATTTATGTAAGTGGAAAAGAGGATCAACAAAAACAACATGGTATCAACAATAACTATGCACGCTGTTACTGCAGGTGCTGCATTACTGCTTATGCTGCCTTACCATATGTATACAATGCAGCTTGTATAGTTTGAGACCTAACGCAAGCCGATGATATTCCAGAATGTGATGACATGACTCTTTGCATAGAGCAGCCTGTGTTAGGGCTCTTAATATACACACTATATTGTGTATGTACTCTTATTACATGCGCTAAGTTACTGCAGGCGCAGTGTTACCACATACGTATGGGAAGTGCTAATGCAACACATGCAGTTAACACAGTGCATACTCAAAGCAACGTGTATATTATGATCCCTAACACAGGTTGCTCTATGTAAGCATAGTCAACACTGGGTCCAGATAGGGGTTAATAGGAAAATAAAAAATAAAAGACAGCAGACTAAGTACTATAAATAAACGTACTGTATATCCAAGACCAGAGATATACAGGTACTTGTATTCAGCAATGCTTGGGTGGAGCAAGGGGGCGTGACCAAGCACAGGTAAGAGTGTAAAGGCTCTGTCATTGGTCACAGCGCTAGAGAGGAGCGGGAGAAGAGTGACCGCATCTGACATTCATCTGACTTGGAGGCGGTGCGCCCCAGGTACCAACACACAGAAGCGGGCAGGTTCTTGCCCAGTACGGCATGGACAACACAGAGGCTGCCGGAGAAAAGAAAAGAGCGGTGATATCAGCAGGCATCAGACCACCCACAGAGGCTGCAGGCGCCTGCAGGTGAGCGGGAGAGACCTGAACACCCACACAGTACTGGAGAACAGGTAAATGGGACCCTCACTTGATTATAAGCTGAGGAGGGCTTTTTCAGCATTAAAAATGTGCTGAAAAACTCGGCTTTACACGAGTATATACGGTGTATGTATGTATATCCATGCTTCTAAGTTCAGTGATTAGAGAAGGGTAAATGTAGTACAAAAATGTATCCAGTATGAATAGACAATGAAGAAAGGATTTGGCAGTGGTTTGGTAAATCAGAAAAAGCCAAATTACAAAAGTCAAAATTTGGAGGATAGACTCAGGATGTATTTTCAGCAAGCTCACACACTCCTTGTAATTCTTATTATACAGTGAGAATCACTACTCACCTGCCCAGAAGAGTATTAGGCATATGAGGACATTAGATATTTATTATAGGCATTGTGTACAGACACACCTATGTTCAGGCACGAATTCATAAGATTACTACCTTAGGGACCTTATGGGCAGTTCTACTCTTGTCCTGAGAACCACTTTTGGATGATTTATGTAGTTGAATAAATTTACAAGCAAGGGATTAACATCTATAGCTTTTCTAATAGAACCAGCTATATAACCACTCTATCTTTTTCATCTGTTGAATGCAGTTAATAATAGTGTGCCACTTGTATGACTATTGGGAATATTGACTAAAAATGAAATAAGGCATTAAACACATGTTGAATAAAGGTTAACTAATTTTCGTTTTCATTATTGATATGATCAACTACATAAGATAGCAAGCATGAAGGAGAAATCTTTAAAGACACTGCTCTGATGTAGGGACTGTATGCAGGTAATTTAGCATCAGAAGGTTTGGACTTAAAACCTAGTCCTATTACCAAAGAAATATTAGATATTTCTATTTTTAAAAATAAAGTATTAAGAAAGGATAAAAGTCATCCTACGCCCTTCTCTCCATTGATTTTAGTTCACTTGTTGTTTCCTTGTCCCTAGGTTGGTTGCCCACTCTTCCTTTCTCCCACCTCCCCTTCTCCTGTATCCCCCCAGAACCAGTCCCATTGTTTTTGTAGTTGAATTGTTTATCCCACCTAACTTATCTAGATAGACATGCAGAGACATTAATAAGTGCAAAAAAAACCAGGCAAAACAAAACAAAACAACAAAGGAAGTCAAAACCAACAAAGCAATAACAACAATAAAAAAACAAAAACAAAATAACAACAACAAAAAAGCCACTGACAAAAATGGAAAAGCCCATAAATAGTTCAAGATCTGTTAGTTGGCCTTTATGAGTGTTTTCCAGTCGAGTCTGATGGGGTGCCACACTGTCTCCAAATTCTATTTTTAGTATTCCCTGGGGATTTTATCACTTTGCTCCCCTTGCTGCTCTGTTGCATGCCTTTAGTGTTTTGCCCCAGTATGGTGGGGAGTAGGATGTCTAGTGGGACTTAATCAAGGGACGAACATGATGGTGGAACAAGAGGAAAGTAAAAGGAAACAGAGGAAAGAACCAGGAGGCAAAGAACATTTATAGAGATCTAAATACCGGCATGTACACATGTAAATAGATTTACATATAATGAGAGGAGAATAGATCTGTGTACTTATATCTATGTTCAGAATTAAGGTTGCCCTCTCTGTTTCTTCACCATCCTGAGTGTGGTGTTGCTCTGACTTCACCATGTTGTCTCATAAGACTTTCAGGATCAAGAGATTCCTGGCCAAAAAACAGAAGCAGAATCGCCCCATTCCCCAATGGATTCGAATGAAAACCAGTAATAAGATCAGGTACAACTGCAAGAGAAGACATTGGAGAAGAACCAAGCTGGTTCTGTAAGGAGCCCCCTGAGGGCTGACACCCACAGCCGCCTTTCCCAGGCTCACTAGTGGTCTGTCATGTTGAGTTGCATTAAGACTTTTGCCACCATCTGATCAACTGAACTTGTATTGGCAAATAATCTGGTTTCTTCCTTGGTTTTTATGCTTCCACATAGAGTTTAACAATAAATATGTAAGGCTGTTGGTTTATAAAAAAGAAAAAGAATTAAGGTTACAGATGGACATGGGACCTCAACTCAAGTACTCCCTTAACACAAGAACACTTTGTTCTAACAATCCAGAATTCTTCGATGGCTCACCTTCCTGACACAATTGCTGAAGACAAGACTGTGTGCATAAGCAAATGTGGTGAAGAAAGCTGATGGTGCCCGGCTATCAAAAGATAGAGCATCTGGACGGCCAACTAGCTAAGAAGCAACAAAGCCCACGTGGAAGAAGCACACCAGCCAGTCTGATCATGAAGTATCAATGGGATCAGGTATCAGGCATCTAAGACCCAGAACAAAATCATACTCAATGTGAATGGGGGAGGAGGTGTGGAGTGGAGACCCAAAGTCCATATGTAGACAATTAGATATTCCTTTACAGAACAGAAGGGTCACAAGGAAGAGATGAGCCAGTCAGGTTGCAGTATAGCACCGATGAAACAGAGCTTTTCTCTAGTTCCTTATTGCTTCTTTCCTCCCACTATCATGACCTCAATTTTACCTTACAAAACAGATTAGACCAGAACATGCACACTGCCCACAACGCAGGGAATCCAGGTTAGATAAACCCCTCAGGGCCAACTATGAGAGTAGAGATACCAGGAGGATTAGGGGAGGGTCGGGGACAAAAGAGGAATCAATCACAAGGATTAACCTATAACCCCCTCTCAGGGAGACTAACAAGGGAAAAGTGGGTGAGGGGCGATGGAGGACAAGGGTTTGTGAGGGAGGACTGGCAGGGGAGGCTGAGAAAGAAATGAGGAGCTGATATCAGGGGTTCAAGTGGGAAGAGAATGCTTTGAAAATGATGATGGCAGCATATGTGCAAATGTGCTTGACATACCGGATGAATGTATGGATTGTGATAAGAGATATAAGAGCCCCCGATAAAAGTATTTAATAAAAAAAGGATAAAAAGAGATAACGCATGCACAGTATTTAAGGCATGTTAGGCATACATATACCTGTGGTTATGAGATTATATAATTCTTTATATACAGTCCCTTGATACATAAAACTAGAAAGCTGGATCCTCCAGAACAATTCAAGGATAGACTCTGATGAACAGAGGACCTACTAACAGGTGGCGTTTTTTCTTTGTGTTTTGTAAGCATGGCTGTGAAACTCAACAGACTCAAGGTAAACCCTGGCTCTGTCATCGGTAGTAAACTTTGACTTTGGCCAAGTTACACTTTCTGAAGTATAATGACAGGGAAATAACATTTAAAATGTTAGAAACCATAGCCTGGGTCAAAATTTGAGAAACTCCTCCCTTTGCAGAATCAATAAAACAAGTCTATTAGACAAATATTGGAATGAGTTGATAAAAGCCTACCTAGTGCATCACTAAACCAGTAGCCAATCAGAATAGCTGTCAAAATTTGGTATAAATCCAGTTTTAAATAACTGTGAAATTGCCCAACACCTAAAGCTCTTGGCAAGGTTTTAAAATTTTAAACTCTCTGAAGTCTAAACCAATATAAAACTGTTATATTTCCTTGTAGATGTGCATTTATGTGTGTTGTATGTTTCTCCTATATACTCATTCAATTATTGACACTGTAGAAAAGCCCAGAAAGTCACATGATCAATGGATCATTCATCCAAAAGATCAGTGTTCATTGCAATCAAAGCGATCTCCTTGAAAAGATTTTTGAAATCTGAATATATTTGATTAATAAAAAAACAAATCCACATTAAAAAATAGTGATAAAATAATCTATAAAATGTTACAGCTCTAGTTAAGCTTATGAATGACAGTCTCCACAATGACCTATGACAGCAAATGTCCACTCAACTGTCCTCAGCTTACCTCAGTGCTGCTCTCCTGCAAAAAGAGAGGTTTTGTTCTCCGGTAGCTTTCACTAATGTTTTTTGTAGTGTGATTCTCCCCTTTGGGTTCATCTGGATTAACCTCCTTTATAAAACGATGGGCAACATTCAATACACTGGGTACAATTTGAGGTTTTACCTATTTTTAAAAAAAATCCAAATATTACTAACATGCAAGTCACATAATTATAATACATTAATTTCATTTTCATTATTCTGTAACCTTTTAATCAAATACATCTAATGTACACAAATGCAAATTAATAATTGTCACCAAAAAGACAATAGTGGCAACAACCATCTATTCAATGGCTGTTTTGGTCTGGTACCCTCTGAAGTATTTTAAAACATTGTATCATTTAATCCTCAAGGTTACTTTAAAACATAGTGTTTATCTTTGTTGTTAAGGATAAAGAAATTAGAGATCAGAGTGTTTCAGCAATTTACCTTAAGTCACATGGTAAGCAGGGGCCAGGGCTGGAAAGTTACTCTAGGTATGCATAATCTAACACCAGCCTTTCCATTATGTGAATCCCCAATAGAAATGTGTGTTGTTGTTTTCTTGTGCACATCATATTTAAAGAACTAAATATAGCTCATGTAATAGAGAGAGAATAAGCAGTAATGAGCATTTTTTTGTAATAGGTAATACTTTGGGGGGTATAGACATCTAGAAAATGCTTAGGTTTCTGAGTGGTACAAGTAGCTTGCAATCAACTGATAATGGTGAGCAATTGGAGCTCATCTAGTGGCACTGTAGAACAAAAGCCTGGCAATCTGTGGCCATAAAGGCGGTGGTTGTTGTTGTTAGGACCTATCAAGCCCATTCTGATGCCAACTGACGCTAGGTACAAAGGAATAAAACTGCCCAGCCCTGAGCCATCCTCACAACCACTGCTATGTTTGAGCCCATTGTTGCAGCCAGTGTGTCAAATCTGTCACACTAAGGTGCCCAAAGTAGATGAGACAAAGCTTTGACATTCTTGCTTCTAAGAAACATTCTACTTCTCTCACAACAAATGTGTTCATTCTTTGGGCACTCCCTGGTCTTCCTTAACACCATAACTGAAAGCCATCAATTCTTGTTCAGGCTTCCTGATTGTTTGTCCAGCATTTGCAAGCATTTGAGGAGACTAAAAATGTCACACCTTGGGCCTGGCGCAACTCAGTGCTCAGAGTGACATCTTTGATTTTCAACATCCTGAATCGTTTGCTGTGCTACACAGTACAGGCCATTTGATGGCTTGACTATAGCTTCTATCAGCTTTTATGTAACCTGAAATCCTTGACAACTTCCATCTATTCTCTTCTTATCATGATGTGGCTTACTGGTTCCCTTCTGAGAATATGTTTTCTTTATGTTGAGATATAATCCTTATTGAAGGCTGGGGGTTTTGGTTTCCTTAAAGGGTTATTGTGAGAGCCTAGAGGACTTCTATGGCACATTTTGAGTTGGATTGCAAGCTTAGCAGTTTGAACCCATCAGTTTCTTCATGGGGGAAAGATGAGGCTTTCTACTCACCAAAAGATTTATATTCTTGGGAACCCAGAGGAGCAATTTTACACTGTGCTATCATTAGAATCAATCATGAGTCAAAATTAACTTGATATTTGTGAGATTTCCATTTTGAGTAAGAAGCCCTGGGGGTGCTGCTGGGTAAGCATTTAACTGCTCCTTAAGAGACAAGTGGGGCTATCAGTTCCTCTAAAGAATTACTGTCTCAGCAATCCGATGCAGGGTCGCTACCTGTCATAATTGACTTGCGGGCAGTGGGTTTGGCTTGGGGTTTTGGTACGGTAAATTGGGTGAAGGCTTACAGGGCAGATCTTCCATTTAACACTCAAAAATTCATATTATGTTTCATTATCTTCGTTGCGAGCCCTTCAATGGAACTTCCTAAGTAAGTGTTTCAAATTCTTTGCTTTCAAAAAGCAAAGTTCTGTTTTGTACATATTACATGTCATTAATGACTCTTCTTCAATCCTGTTACCAAGCTTTTCTACATAAAGTCTAATTTCTAAAATCATTTACTCTTTATACAGACCATGAATGGAGAAGGGACATAACCCTGATGCACATCTTTCCTGATTTTAAACCATATAGTATCTCCTTATGCAATTTGAAGGATTTCCTCTTGGTCTGTCTGTGGGTTCAACATGAACATAATATAATGTTCTAGAACTCTCATCCTTCACCGAGTTATTTATCATTTCTTATGGGCCAAAGAGTTGAATGACTTTGCCTAGTCAATAAAATATCTTGCTGGTGTTCTCTGCTTTCATCTAGATTTATCTGACAGCAGCAATGATATCTTTCAACAATGTAATGGATTACTTAATCTATTACTTACTCTTCTACCCACAGTCTTCGATATTTACACCATATGACCCTTATTTTCCTGATGAGTCTGGGTAAGACAGTGAGGGAAGATGCTGATTGTATTACGTATATGATTCAGATGTGAGTGAATGTCATCCTGCTGGGTGTAAAGTGAGTCATTTCAAAAGCAGTGAGAAAGGAATTTTACTACCAGCAAGAGCTAGGAGTGGAAGTTGTCCACTGAACCTGGAGATTCCAGAACAATGAACGTTCTTGGTCTAGGAGACAGCTTTAACACCAGAGTGATCAAGGGGCAGCAGCAGCAGAACAAGGAGCCAGAACATGAGCCACAGTGGAGTTCCCAGCCCACAGAGCAAGCAAAGCTGAGTGCTTGGGGCCCGATGCTGGCTTGTGGAGTAGATCTGGTTCACTTAAGCACAAGGGTGTCTTTGAGTTGGCTCCACCTCAAGACAACTTCTATGCATATGAGAATGAAACTTTGTCCAGCCTTGTAACATATTCATTTTTTTTGTATGTTTGAGCACACTGTTGAGACTACTAGGTCAATTTATCTCAGTGATGGATTTCCTCATTTCCAATAACTTTATACCAAATATAGGAGCTCTGGTGGCATAAGGTGTTACTTGTTAGACCTTGAACTGCAAGAACAGAAGTTCAAAAGCACCAGCCACTCCTCAGAAGATTTCTATTCCTGTAAAGGTATACAATTTCAGAACCCAGAGAGGATAGTTCTACTCTGTCCTACAGAGCTACTGGAAGTTGGAATCAATTCAAGGACAGGGAGTTCGGGGTTTTGTATTTTCTACCAAATACGGTGCCCTCTTATAGCAATTAGCCTCCCTGTTATATGGCCAAAGTAAGCAAAACTAAGTCTCACTATCCTCACTTGTAAGGAGAATTCCAGTTAAACAACTCCTAATTTTGTTCAGCTTCTGGAAGTCCATAGAAAATGTCCTGTTCTTCTATAGCAATTCAAGATGCATCGACTCCTCTCATGCTCTCTACTTTTCCTTTTGTATCATTTTACAGTGTTCACATGCATTTGAGGTGACTGGGAGAACACATGGCTTAGATGAGATATAATTTAATCATCAAAGTGACATTTTTGCATTTTCAACCTTTAAAGATGTCCAGTGCAGTACGTCATTTGATTCCTTGACTGCTGCTTTCATAGGTGCTGATTGCTGATCTAAGTTGAAAGCAAGCGTAGTGACCTTGCTAATATTTAAAATACCAGTAGCATAGTTTTAAATATCTTAGCAACACACAAGCCACCTTAGTATGATAGCTTGGCTGTTTTTATAGACTACAAGCCATTCACCTGTAGAGTCATTGTGTGGGTCTGAACCACAAACTTTCAAATGGTTTAACCAATTTACTTCCCAGGTTTCTTGGTCTAGCAAATACATACCCCAAATCAATCACCTTCCATCTAGTTAATTTTCACCCTACGGGAGAAAGAACTACCTCATAGGGTATCCAAAGGTGTAAATCTTTACAAAATAAAACTGCCACATATTTCTTCTGGTTAAACCAATGATTATTTCAACCAACAGACCAGTGATTTAAACACTGTACCACCAGGGCTCCTTTGAAAATATCTTGTATGCTGAAAATAAAGGGAGAAGAAGTTGCTAAGGAATCAAATCAGATGCTTGAAGAAAGGAATTCATCGAATTTTTTTCACAAGTCTTCAGAGTAGTTAAAAAAGAACAAGCAAATTCTGGAAAGACCCTTTCTCTAAGGAGTCTTTTATCGACAGCGACCACGGGTCTGTACAAGGACTCCTAGGGAAAGCTGCAGAATTCTGGATCTAATCTGAGACTGAAATAAACACCAGGGGGAGACTTATGGTCTTCAGAGGCTTGATAGGAACCTGGCATTGCAAAGTCAAGAAATACTTCTTAGCAAATATCCTCCAGATAGAGGAAAAGTCAGCAGGAAGCAGAGTGATTATTTTGCACACTCTCATGGAAATATTTCTATTTTTAAATGGTAATTTAGTTACTTATTTTGCTTTAAGATTACATTGAAACTTTCTATTTATGACCTTTTGTAAAACTATTATAATACATCACAGTCTGATTCTTGACTGAATTTGTGAGCATCAAATTCATCAGTATTATTTTACATGGAATTAATAAATCATCCATGAAAACTTGACCAATGCACACACATTGCTGTTAATATATTAAAACGTGGTTTCTGTTACAAATTTTCCCAATGATCATCAAAAAAGAAAATGATAGATGCCTATGTAGTCATTATTTTAAAATACATTCAAATTATAGGTATTGCTTCATCCTTCCAGATAATCCTGTATTTTAAACAGCATTTGTAGCAAAGTAATCCAATCTAAATCTTATTTGAAATTCCTAGAATATAAGTCCTTGAGTTTCAAAGGTGACTTAAATGGTTTATTTTCGCCTTACAGTTAAAAAATCTTATCAAAATAGTATGCTTTAAATGTAATGACCAAAGCAGAATGGCCATTCAAATATAAATACTTCTTTCAATAATAAAAATGCAAAGGTTATTCTAGTCCTAACTGCATTCAGAATTTTAATAACATCTTAGGTAGCACATCAAGAGACCCCATTACAACAAATAAAATAAAATAAAACAAAGAAACGGAGAACTCATGGACCGGTTTTATTCTTTGAGGGATCTCCTATCAGCAACTAATTTTATTCCCATGTTAAATTTACTGCTTAACATAAGATCAAGTCTGCCAGCAAGATGGTAGACTAAGCAAACCCTTTACAACAAGGATACAAGAGTCCAAATCAAGCAGACAC